TCGTTAATATTACAGTGTAAACTCTGCAACACAAGTATTCTGGTTGAGATTCTGTGTTCATATTTTAAGCCACACTGTTGATGGGGGGGGGGGGGAATAAACTGTTGCTATAGCATCTTTGTCCCTTTATGATCTGACCAAAGGATTCCCTCCAGTAGGAGTAGGAACATCACCTGTCAGAAGTTATGCAATGCATTCACAGATGCCTTTGATTCTGTAACCAGAATTTACAGCTATCCTTCCTTCCATTTGCTGTGTCACCTTCAGTTCTGTCTGAGCACAGTCCCTCTATTGCAAGGGGATCCATGCAAGAAGTAGTGTACCTCTGTTCTGATACAGCTCTGTGAGACAGTGGGATGCTGATCCTGTTTAAGGTTCTATAATTTCTGATTGTGTGACCCACTGAACAAAACAGATGTACAATAGTGACAAGCACACTCTCTTAGTATTGGAAGCCTGGATTTATTTACCTCATGTTTTCCTTTGTTCTTTATAATTAATGTTTAATTCACTAATGTTAAATGGGAAAACCAGATTCCTAACTGCGTCATACGTAGGAAATCCCTAATGGTTTGTAAGACCACTTCAAACAGCTATGGAAGCAAAGCATGTAGCTTGAAAGCTCCGCTCTGAAAATAGCAATGGTGACAAACGTGTTACAAGCAGTTTTCAGAAAGGATGTTGAGATATGTGCCAATGCTGAGAAACATGGTTCACACAAATTTTTTTGCATTCTTATCTGAGAAACTTTTCTATCATTTTCTTCTGCAGGCGAAGTAATGACTTGAATCCATTTATGGGTTCAAGATTGGTGTACGCAGTCAGAGACTCGTTAAATTAAAGGAGCTTTGTATGAATGCAGCATACCAATTAAGCAAATGTTTTGCAGAATTAGCATTTTAGATGGTCATAAATAGGAGAATTGTGAAAATATATGGTTATCTATTATGTATAACATAGTTATGGTTGTAACAATTACTAAATTGGCAATCTGGGGCCAAATTAAAATTTTCACTTTCTTTAATGTTCAATAACAGCTCTTGAAGTGTTGCTGCAAGAATGGCATTATTTTTTACAAAATATACAAAACTGACTAGCATCTATAAATAATGACAAAAAAGTAAAACTACAGTTGATAAAAAAGCACGTTTTATGAGGCAATACATGCTAGCATCTTCATTGAGGTGGTATATTTAATTGCCAGTTTAATCATTTGCCGTGCCTTGCTTTGTAACTAGTACAGTGCCTATCCGTTTGAAGTTGTGTTTTAATGAACCTGTGTTTTCTCAGTCTGATGTGTGGCTAACAAGTGCCACAGATCTTAAAATAATTTTGGAGCATGAGACTCAATGGCAGAATTTTTTAATAGAAAAATCAGGACATTCAGTCAAATACTGAAAAAGTAAATAATGAGCATTGACATTTTGGAGACAAAGTTGAATTTTCTGCGTAATCGTAATGTTTCTTGCAGTACTCCCAAGGTCAATGTGTTGCAATTGTGCCTGATCCTCCAAATTCCTAAGACTTGGTAGTTACATCTGGAAGTTCACTGATAAGAAAGTAAATATTTAAGCCAGTTGGTTTGTAGGATTTAGCCACTTAAAATTATTTTTATTAAGCCTTTTAAATGACAAGTTGAAAGTCTGATTTATCTTCCTGCCCTTTACTGTATTGATACATACATTTTACTGTATATATGACATAGTTGTATAGTGTTTGGGAACTAAACTTTCAGTGATACCTTCTGAGTTTTGCATATTGAGCTATAAAAGAAAGATTAGAGATTGTGAAAGGGAAATTGATGAAGCTTCTATGACTTTTCTTATAGGTTAAAACTAGTCTTGATTCCATTAAATCAGATGGAGCCTCCATTTGAACGGTTTAATGTAATGCCCTTCAAATGCTTATGTTACTGCAATAGTATTTTTAATATAATTGTGAAGGAAGAGGGACTTCTACATTCTGCTGTTCATTTGCCAGTTACAACCCTAATAAGTTTGAAGCTGTTTCATCAGTTTTTTGCTTATTTTGAAGGCACGTAGATCTCAAAGACACTACATTCTGTTTTATATGAAAATGAGCATGCTGGTAGATGAGACCAGTTTTGTTCCTTAGTGGGGGAAGATGGGGGAATTGAGCTCTTATCTGTTCTGTTTCTCAAAAGCAGCTGTCTAATCAGGGCACTTGGTTGGCAGTCAATAACCTGTATTTCTTGAGTAGCCTGGAAAAAAACCAAAGTGGAGAGATGGGCATGTGATTGTGGGAGAGGAAGTGGAGCAGATACAGGATGTTGGATGTGAGAGAACTCTGGAAGTATTGTGGTCAGTATTGGGTGGGTTTTTGGGAAAGCTTAGGCCAGAACTCAGAGTTGCTTATTTCGAAAGTACTAATTTCAGTCCACTCCAGGTGCGTGTCCAAAGTCAGTCCAGTAGCTTCTTTAAAGAAATAGGTTTTCTCAAACCAAATGCCCGTGCAATATCAAATCTACAGTAACCAGGAAAACTTAAATTGGTTGCTTGTAATTTTGGACTTGGTGATCCTTATGGATCCCTTCCAACTTGAGATATTCTATGACTTTTTAGGGTCAATTTGTGACCTAATTTTAGACTTCAGTGTATGACATTCACTTATTAGCTTAATAAGTAAAGAATCATCGTATTCACTAAGCATTAAATAAGATTTCTTCATGGCCAGTTTGCCCATAAAGAGTTTTGCCATACCTTTCATTAATATATAGAAAGGAGAGTCTTGTATTTAAAATGAAAGATTCTATTAATTGGTTTTATTCTGCTATTTTTGTCATCGCTTATTGCAGCACACAGACATTTTGGTTTTCTTACTATTTCTAATTAGTGAGGCATCAGAAATACATAAAGGTACAGTTTAGACTTTCTAAAACGTTACACTTTTTTTATAGATAATTCTTCTCCAGCATTAGTGCATTCCTTGTTACCTTAGTCGTATTCCATCCCTGAATTACATATTTTTAGTATAAGCATTACCTTAGCACACTGACAACTATGGACATTAGTATTGGTCAGTCATTTTTCCATAAACACACAGATTTTTGTGGAACAAACGACTAAGATGATCTGTGTTAAGCACTGTAATGTCTTTGAAATGCTGTGAATTTCTAGTTAGACTAAAAAGCGTTTGAAAAAATGAGCTGTTCTGGTGGCATGTTAGCAATGTGGTGGTTCAGTTCACACTGCTTTTATTATATAAGTTCCTCTCTGTGATGTTAAGCGGTATTCTTTACCTATTATTGATTTTCCAGAATATAATGCTTTGAAGAAGCTTGTTGGCTTGTGTGAAGGAATTGAGCAGTAGCTTTCACTTGGCTGGTGCCTGGTCTGCTTAGTATGTAAAAGAACTAGTTGAATGTTCCTCAAACTGTGTAGATGGGGGCCAGGCAGCTAATGCTCATTTGCAACCAGTGAATTTAGGCATCAGCTGAGATTTTTTTTTTCTTCCCTCGTTTTCTTTATTAAGCAGAAAAGAGCTTTCTTTGGTTTGTTAGACAGTATTTATATTAGGGTGCATTGTGAAATTGCAAGTCGTAATGAAGAGGTTTCTGTTGACAAAAGTAAGTAGTGTATAATTAATAACTTAAGGAAAAAAGTGAGAAGTAAAAATCCATTAGAATAATTCATAGTCAATTCTACAAGAGCTCCATTGGTTTATTGTAATTTATTATATTTCAAATTATATAATATTTCAACTGGGAGACTCAGTAATATGATAGACGTGTAGAAAATGTAGTATTACTTGTCCTTTGTGGTAAACAGTGATTTAGCCAGCAAGAACTTAGCTAGCCGTGCAAAATTGCAAAACATGATTATTGGCTGGGTTTGATATACTGGTTTCCAGTATATCAGCTGGATCAGTTGCTCAGGCTTTGACCAGCTTCCAAAAGTTAAAACTCGTATCTGTGATTTTTTTATTTTTTTTTTTTCCCCCTGGGCCTGGAACTATGACTACTTGAAAACAAGCTTAAAAAGGTGGAGTAGTTCTTGCACCTTTTTTGGAACTGCCATGGGTAGTGATTTAAACAAATAACATTTAATCTGTCCTGTATCACTTAAACCTGTGATAAAAGTGATCTAATAACTCTGGAGAGCAGTAGGGATTTGCCTTAATCAGAACACTAGATACTCTTGAACATGCTACTGGTAGAGCAAATGAGAAAAGGTTCTTTCTGACTACAACAGCATTATTTGAGTCAAAAAAAAAAAAATCTCCCATGTTTTATTGACTATCCTTGGTGAAGAAGATAAATAGGGGTTTCCAGTTCCTGTAGCAGGAAATATTGTATGTAAATGTATTTACGGTTAAAATTTAATTGCAGAATAAAATTCTGGGCTGCTCTAGCTATTTTGTTGATTAGCACTACTTGCTTTTAATGATTGCTTACCCATGTGGCTAGTGACTGATCGGGATGTAAATATTGCTTACTTTTTTGTTCTGTGCTGGAATTAACATTAACAAATAAGTCTGGTTATGTTGATTTGACTTAAACTAAGAGGCTGCCTTTACAAGAGGCAACTTTAGAGGAGCTTATAAAAGGGAAAAATGAGTTATATTCTGGGAAGCATCTTGGCTTGAATGGAAAGCTTCTGGAGTATGTTCTCAATTTAAAAACTGTTGAGCCAGTAGTATATAGCAACAATACAGGTTTTTTTCTTAATAGATAGGCAAGAGACTTGGGAAACAGCATTTTCTGTAATCTTAAAATTTTATTAATTTCTGATAATTTTTGAACTTTTTATAAATACAGCAATAGGATAAAGAGGGTGAGCATATACCATTTAGTGTCAAAATCTACTAGCCTAAAACTTAATGTCAGATTGTATTTAATGTGTCTGTATCTTCAACGATATTAAACTCAACTATAGCAGCTTTTCTGTGCATGTACTCTAGAGCCAGTGTATGTTGATGTTCTTAGGGGATTTTGTAAATATTCAATAATTTAATTTTTCCCCATTATATTTTTTTCTTAGCTGGAAAAGAAGCAAGCAACCCCGCCATTTCAGCCTCAGATCACAGACGATTATGGTTTGGATAACTTTGATACACAGTTCACCAGCGAACCTGTGCAGCTAACCCCAGATGATGAGTATGTTTTTCTTTTTCCCCAGATACAATTGCATATTAAGAAATGAATTTATAAATTACTTGAAAATTACTAAGAAGAGACTCTGTACTTAGCATTAGAACATAGTCAAGTTAAAGTAAATTTGAAGTTTTTTGTATCCTACATGTCTTGTATAACTTACCATACTTGTTATATATTAGAAGACTGCCCCATATTCTAATAAAAGTTCAGAATACACTATTGCTTTGCTGCTGAGTGTGTGCTTGGCCCAGAAAGAAGAGATGGGAATTTGATTCCTGACCCAGGCTGCTTGCATTTCTGTACTCAGGAGAAACAAGTGATGCACAACTCCTTGGGTCTCGGAATAAGCTTGAGATAGCAGGAAGATCTTACAGAAAGCCATTATTTAAGTGTACTATGGAGAGAATTTGCAGGAAGAAAAAGTGTGCTTTAATAAAGGAATTTGAAGGCTGAGGAGTGATTGCTGTATACCAAGGAAGGTATTTCCTTCAGATACAAGGTGGCATATAAGATGACAGGCTATAGTTTAGGTCGTTAGATGGGAGACTTAGCTTGCCCAGACTGTTTAAGAGAATAATTGTACATGGTTTTGAGGGTTTACTGAAGTGTAAAAATTTAAAATTGGAACTTGAGCTTCCTTTGGAAAAACAAGAGGAAGCTTTATGCAATGGGGAAAAATGTCAGAGAAAAAATGATCTTGTTGACTTCATTCCTCTGTGAAGCATTTAGCATGTGTCTGATGATAAACATATTATCAGAGCTGAGGGGGGAGGATGGGCCAAACAACATCAGTGTGAAAATTACAGTGTCTGATTGCTGAGGAATGCAACAGCTTGGGGGGTCCATTGTTTTTTTTTTTCCAAGGCACATTTTTCTTTCAAGGCTTGAGTATGTGCCACTAAAGCCAGAGGGCACTTAGAATACACTTTTTAAAGAACTGGTTTTTGTTAAAGAGCATAGTAGTGTGTGTTTTCTTTTGAAATTTTTGTGCTATTCTATAAAAATGCAATGAAACTCTGCTGATCTAGCATTTTGATACAGAAGTAAAATGAATCAAAGGCAATGTGGGGTTTATTAAAAATCTAAGACTTAGAGTCCTGAAATCTGTGCAGCTGGGATTTCTAGGTAAGCTTTACTGTGAGAGAGCAGCAAGGATTTGCTTGCACATTATACATTTACATTTTCCCAGTGTATTTCATTTATTCATGTTTGGTTTTCCTTATCTGACTAGATGCCCTCTGCTGAAGATGGTAATGCATTCTTTTCCAGATGTTTTCAGCCTGTTCACTGGTTTCATGTTTGAAGAAAATCAATTTCTTGAATTTCCAGCGCTTTTGTGTTCTTTGCAATTTCTAACTGAATTCTGTAAAGCTGCTAATTGAAGGTGTTCTAGAATGAATATTTGGGTCTAATCAGATGTTTAATAGGGCAAATTCTAAAGTAGTGCTTTTGGAAATGGGATTTTAATAATGGATTTATGATTACTACTCTTGTAGATACTGTCTGAAGTACCGCATAGAGCGGGGGGATGCCATCTTGGCAAGCAGAGGCTATTGCATTTTATCCAAAGGCTTTCATAGTTAAAGGCACAAGATTGTTGCATTCCAGCCTATGTGCTTCTACTCATTTTCCCTCTTCTTTGTTGCTACACAACAAAGCTGAACTGCTCTGACAGACGATACTGTTTCCAAGGCTCTCTCATAAAGTGCCTGCTAATCCTACATCAACCCCTGGGATTAGCTAGTTGTTCAGGGAATTTTTGTTTGTACAAATGAATGTTACATTGATTACACTTGTGACTGTAAAAATGACCACTGTAACTAGCAATCTATTGAGTCTACTCCAGTGGCAATAAATTCACTGTTGCAGGGTCTTCTCTTGCTGCATTCTTGGGTAGCAGGTGTTCATCCTCAAGTAACTATGTATTTGGAGATTTCGTTGTGGGTATTTGTGTGCCTGGGTGCTCAAGCTTGAATTTTGTACAAGTGTTACATATATATCATAGATCCATAGTTCACAACCTATTCTCTCAAGAGTCCAGCATATATGAAGTGAATAGCTGAATGGAAACCAAAGTGTGAAGTGCTTCAGTTATTGTTTGTGACACCAAAGAATTACAAGGCAGGTTCGTGCTTTACAGGTTCTAATTGACAATAAAATCACAAATACCAAGTGCGTGCGCACCTGTAGTGGGAAGTTTTATGAACATCACATCTTAAAAGAAATTCTGTGTCTTTTACATAGAAAAACTTCTAAGTCTTTCCTTGGTTTTCCTGTGTATATGACACTTTCTTTTTTAAGTACTAGCATTGTGCTTGACACTTTTGTAGTATTTATCTTATATATTAGCAGCCCTTGCTGAGAACAAAATATCTGTTTATTTGGAAATTGGTATTATAAACCAACAGTCATGTATTATATGCTGCTTTTTGGGCCCTATAAGTATGCATGTTGCCTAACTGGAAGGACAGAAGAAACTTTTTATCAGATGTTTCAAAATTTTCAGTCATATTGCTTTAGATATTGGGGTGGAACATTAGTCTGAAGTATTTGTATGCTCAGATACTTTTTTCCCCATTTACTGTTGCTTCTGTGCAACTTCATATACATACATTTCTGTAAGGTATTTTGTTACTATTTGAAGACAAAGTACAGCAACAAAAATAGTATTTGCAATTGCTAAAACTAAAACAATGCTTTTATTTGTTTTTCAGAGATATAATAAAGCGAATAGATCAGTCAGAATTTGAAGGATTTGAATATATTAATCCATTGTTGCTGTCAGCAGAAGAAACAGTATGAAGGAATGACATCTTCGTTGTGGACAATGTGAATGACCTTTAAATTTATCCTTAACTACAGTATATGCATGCGAGGCTGGGGAACTGTAAGATTTTGGATGGAGACCAATGATTTAAAAAAAAAAAAATTGCTGCTGAAAATCAAAGAAGACAAATAATAATTTTGGTGGGTGTCTTCTGCCACTTAGTGATTCTTAAGTTCTGGGCACTGACACAACTGGCTTCATTAATGAAGGAATTTGCATTTTGTGCCTGTTTCATGAAGGATTGAAATGTTCATTGCATCCCTGGAAAAGGAGATTCTGAACAACTTTGAGATCTACACACTTTCTACAAATATTTGATGCAATGAGCTACCAATTGAAGAATATTACAGTGTAACATCCTGAAGAATAAAATATATTACGGTGGTGTTGAAGCTTATTTTTGATGCCTTTTTTCACAAGTGGTACCTGTCTAAACGTCTCAGATATATTTAAAAGGAGTTGTGTTTTATTAGCAATCAAAACATAAATTTGGGTACAAGATTTAAGTGCCTAAATGGATAAACTGCATTGAAGAATTATTACGTATTTGGAACGTTCTTAAACCTGGTAAGTTCTGCTTGTTAATATTAAGTAACCATTTACATGTGACACATACAGTTCACAGCTGCAGCCTAATGTTCATTTGCATCTTTATAGAATTTGAAATGCAGAGTGACTCAGCAATATTAATTCCAAATTAGAATTTACAGTATCAATTTCAAAATCTGTTGGTTTAAAGTCCAAATTTACCAAAATGTATGGATTGAAGAAAACTAAATTTGCACAGAAAGGATTTCTGAAAATACTTAAGCAGTGCCTACACCTACAGTGATGTTGTGTTGTATATTAGATTTTTGAAAAGTATTTTTATCAACAATACAAATATTCAGAAATAGAGCAAAAGCGTAATAAAGCATAGCCTTAAAGTTTAAATAGTAAATCTAGAATAACCATAATATAAAAATACACTTTCCTGATAAAGCACACCTCCTACTTATGATAAACTGTCTGCTTACAATTACTCAGTGTATATTAATAACTAATGATTCTACATAAGAGAATGGGATGTTTTGGTAAAATGATTTGCATCAAAGTAGTAATTTTTTTTAATGGAAGAAAAATTAATACCTAAGAAATTGGATAAAGCAAAAAGGATAACTATCAAATCCCTTCTCATGGAACTGGGGGGGGGGGGCGGGGAGGGGCAGGAAAGGGTGTATTGCATCAAAAATATTAACAATTTATCAGCTTGGAAAAGCTCACATTGCTACATTTGAGGATTCGTAAGTGTGCATTGCTATCTGAAACTTCAGATGCTTGTGAAGATTTCCCTGCCTCTATAAGTAACAACAGCAGAGGCAGGATTTCCTTTTGCTAGATTTTGGTTTAACTATATTGTGTGGGTTGTAGAAGTAAGGGAGGGAAAATCATGTGGGAAGGAAAAAATGAGAAACCCTGTGCCATGACATCTCACCTAATTTGGTGTAAAATGCAGCATAAATTGCAACGCTTTCACTTTCTTTACATTAACATATGGTTTTCTCAGGGTACAGCATTGCATTAGGTGCTGAACATGACATCTTTCGGATTCACATCCAAGTCATGAGGTGCTAGGACGAGACTGCCAAAACATTGTGTAAAATTTTCAATTAATCATTAACAATCTACATTTTGTATCCCCTCATTAGCCACAATTATGCAGACCTGTGGTTATTTAGTTATATTTATCCCATTCAGATTTAGTTGTGGGTTTCTCTCCGTTGGACTGTAGCTTTTCATATTAAGCAAAATGTGTTTTAATCAGCACTAAATAATTTAACCAGTAAGAAGTATTTGCCTCAAATGCCTGGACTTTAGATACTTTATTTATTATCTACTAAAGGAAACATTTACCTTTTAAATGTAATCTGACATTTTTTAATCACTCCTTTTTTCCCTTCTCCCTGGCAATTACTTATCCTGAATAATTTTTCTTTCAGTGTTTCCAACTCCCCTGGTAAGAAAACTAATCAATAGTTACCAGAGTGACTGCAGGCAGCTCATGAATGGAAATATGACAGATTCAGCTGTCCTTTGACATGCCAGGGCATAGGACTTTAAAATGGAAATATTAGAAATGTGGGTTGGGGGTTTTTTTTAACCTTTTTTCTAGGTTTCAGAACATTTTGGGAGGGAGGGAAGGAAGGAAGAACAGAAAGACACATTTGCTAAACAAACATTGTAAAGACTACTTGATTTTATTTAAAAATTTACAGGCATTTACAATGTTGCTGTGTTGCCAAATAGTTTGCTGGATACAAGTTTGGTTGCTCATGTGCAAGTGTTTGAATAATGTTCTGTTCATGATGAAGGGGAAATTTTTTATATAAAGTACTTGTTTTATAAATAAAAGAAAATGAAGGATGTAATTAAATGTGTGGTTTGGAAAAAAA